CATACAGCCCGTGTCTTAGGACAGCAAGGCATTTCCCTGCTACTCCCTTCCCCCTCACCACCTCCCTTCTCCAAGCTAACGGACTGACTGGAGACTGCACTGTCCACTGTTAACCAGTGGTGTATTTAGGTTTTGTGCTGCCCTAGGCAACACAAAAATCTTCTGCCCTCGGACAACACAACCCCCCCCCTTCCCCCTCCCACGGAGAGAGCCTGACATTGACCAACAACACCCCTGCCCCCCACCCTGGAGAGCCTTCCACTACCCCCCCCCCCCCCCCAGTGATCCCTTCTTTCATTCCTTCTTCTGGGGGGAGGTGCTGCACCCTTAAAAATTGCCACCCTAGGCAAGTGCCTTATTTGCCTTGTGGTAAATTCGCCCCTGCTGTTAACTCATTATTATGAAGATCGAACAGAAAAGCAACAGGGCTGTGAACTGCAATTGCCGGGGTAAAAATTTTACCAAATAGTTTACTAAACTAAAAAAAAAAAAACTAAGCTGAACTCTAGGTACATAAAAAAGATATCAATTAATGCAACTCTGTATTCATTAACACATCATTAAATGTATTATTTTATGTGCAATTAATCAAAATACCTTAATATGTCTTAAAGTGATAAATGCTAGGTGCTAGGTTTTTTTTTTAATTTAACAAACAAGTTTATACTTACCTGTTCTGTGCATTATAATTGCACAGAGCAGCCCCTTCTTCTTGGTTCCCTCACTGGCATTCCTGGTTCCTCCTTTTCTTGGTGTGCCACTATAGAAAACCGCTTCCTATTGTGGCACACCTGCGGGCTCGATCCTGAGCCACACTGCCTGTATCCATTCACGTAGACAGAGTGGTGGGCTCCACCTTCATGTCATAGGATTTGACTGGCAGCAGTCAAAGTATGTAAGTATAAGGGGGGTGCTACCTAAACATTTTTTTCACCTTAACCATTTTACGCCCCCTCGCATTGTACTGCTGACGGGTGGCCGCAGTAGGCAAAGCGACATACGTTGCTGCCTACTTCTGGGCTTCAGGGGCGCGCGCCCCCCTCCGCCACCCGCTGTGATTGTACACAGTGGGTGTTTGTCAAGAAGTGCTGATCGGCTGTGTACAATCACAGCCCAAAGCTCTGCATTCACATTCAACACAGAGCTCTGTACAAAGAAAGTGATCTGTCAGGTTAACCCCTTCCCAGTCAGTGTCATGAGTACAATGACAGGGTATAGTATCATCACTGATCACTGTATTAATGTCACTGGTGATGTCAGTGACAGTTAGTCAGTGGCAATTAGTGTCAGACTGTCTGCCACACTCCCGCAGCCCCATTATAAATTGCTGACCGCCGCCATTAGTAGTATACAAAAAAAATCCACTGTACATATTCCATTGTTTGTAGGAACTATAAACATCACGTCAATATACACTTGCTGGAATTTTTATCAAAGACATGCAGCAGAATACATGTAAATGTTTAATTTTACATTTTTTTATTGGATATGTTCTATAGCAGAAAGTAAAACATATTAAACATTTTTGATATCCCTTCATTTATATCGCAAAAGATAACAAAAAACCCAGCTTTGATCAAATACCACAGCAAGAAAGCTCTATTTGTGTGAAAAAAATGATATAAATTTTGTTTGTGTACAGCATTGCACGACAGCGCAATTGCAAGTTAAAGTAGCGCAGTGCAATATAGCAAAAAAAAATGGCCTGGTCATGAAGGGGGTTAATGCAAGGAATGCATTAGGGTAAAAAATTTTTGGCTTTAGAACCATTTTTTAAATGGTAATCAATCCAAAAAACAAAAAGTAATATATTGCAGTTTACCAATCCTTAAATGTGGTGGCTGCATTAGTTTTTATTTTTAGGCTTTTTTCCCCCTTTATTTCACCTGGGAATCCTGCCAGTAACACATTTCCTGTCTAAGGGTGTCTGCATTCTGGATGAAGTAGTAAAACAGACACCTTTGGACAGCAACATTGTCTGTCTTGGGGGGCTGTGTTAGACTGGCAGATTAAGATGGACTTGGCTAACAAATTAAAGCCAAACGCCATCTAATACATTACAGGTGAAACTCGAAAAAATTAGAATATCGTGCAAAAGTTCATTTATTTCAGTGCAGCAACTTAAAAGGTGAAACTAATATATGAGATAGACTCATTACATGCAAAGCAAGATAGTTCAAGCCGTGATTTGTCATAATTGTGATGATTATGGCTTACAGCTCATGAAAACCCCAAATCCACAATCTCAGAAAATTAGAATATTACATGCAATCAATAAAACAAGGATTGTACATAGAACCTCTGAAAAGTATAAGCATGCATATGTACTCAGTACTTGGTTTGGGCCCCTTTTGCAGCAATTACTGTCTCAATGCGGCATGGCATGGAAGCTATCAGCCTGTGGCACTGCTGAGGTGTTATGGAAGACCAGGATGCTTCAATAGCGGCCTTCAGCTCTTCTGCATTGTTCGGTCTCATGTCTCTCATCTTTCTCTTGGCAATGCCCCATAGATTCTCTATGGGGTTCAGGTAAGGCGAGTTTGCTGGCCAATCAAGCACAGTAATCCCACGGTCATTGAACCAGGTTTTGGTGCTTTTGGCAGTGTGGGCTGGTGCCAAGTCCTGCTGGAAAATGAAGTCGGCATCCCCATAAAGCTCGTCTGCGAAAGGAAGCATGAAGTGCTCCAAAATCTCCTGGTAGACGGCTGCGTTGACCCTGGACTTAATGAAGCACAGTGGACCTACACCAGCAGATGACATGGCTCCCCAAATCAACACAGACTGTGGAAACTTCACACTGGACTTCAAGCATCTTGCAGTGTGTGCCTCTCCATTCTTCCTCCATACTCTGGGTCCTTGGGCCTCTCCATTCTTCCTCCATACTCGGGGTCCTTGGTTTCCAAATGAGATGCAAAAGTTGCTCTCATCAGAAAAGAGAACTTTGGACCACTGAGCAACAGACCAGGTCTGTTTTTCTTTAGCCCAGGTCCCCCATCTCCCCCACTGCTTTCTTGACACATGCAAAGGGTCGTTTTGCCTCTCACTGACACCATTAATGAGGCACTATACTCAGTGACACCAGCAATGAGGAACTATTCATCCCACTGACATCAACAGCAGGGCACTATTATTTCCACTGACATCAACAGTGGGGAACTATTCCTCCCACTGACACCAACAAGGGGGCACTATTACTTCCACTGACACCAACAATGGGGCACTAGATTATTTTTTTTTTTCGTTCAAACCCAGTGAGCTGAATAAAAAAGAAATTGAGAAGTTACCATGCTAACTAAGCAATGTTAATGTGGCAATTTTGCCCGCTGAGCTATTCTATTCTGACATTGGCTGCCAGCACTGATCGGATGCTGGCTTTCCAGCATGCTCATTTGACAGAAGCTGGTCATGAGACCGGCTTCTGTCAGATAGGGAGCTGTACACACAGGCCCAAAGTCGGTTGGTTTCGGTTGAACTGACCATTTGCTTGTACCTAGCTTTACTCTCACTGACACCAACAAAGAGGCATTAATACTCCCACTGGCACCCCTGATGGCACAATGCCTCCCACTGACACCAATAATAGAACACAATTCCTCCTCCTACCGACCACAGACCCTGGGCCATTGTTTACTCCCAGTGACCAGTGACCAGTGGACATTTTCTTTTCCTACTGGCCACAAAGAGGCATTAATACTCCCACTGGCACCCCTGATGGCACAATGCCTCCCACTGACACCAATAATAGAACACAATTCCTCCTCCTACCGACCACAGACCCTGGGCCATTGTTTACTCCCAGTGACCAGTGGACATTTTCTTTTCCTACTGGCCACAGTCTAACCACCCTAAAATCTGAAGGACAGTGAACTGGTCTTTTGTTTAGAAATTTTAGGGACTGCTGAGATAGAGAGTAGGAGAGCAAAGGCTTTATCTTGATGGCTGAGCAACATTTAAAAAGAGTTTAACATTACAAAAAAAAAAGAATAAAGAGAAACAATGTAATTTTGTGTATAAAGTGCTAACTCAGTAGGTTTTTTATAGTTGATGTAATTGGACAGAAAGATAGCCGCTGTCTGTGTATCATGATTACACACGAATTACAGCAGCACAATTTTATCTGATGCGAGCTCATCGTCTGCACAGCTGTTCTTCTACAGGCAAGGCACAAAGCCTAACCACAAGCATGCAATGATAAAAAAGTAAAAACCTGCTTTCTTGGCATGTGACCGTGCCTGTTCGCACTTTTCTGATCAGCACTGTATCTGCAACTGCCAGAGACTAGACGTTCTTGTATGCCAGTTTCTCTTGATTGCCCTTTTGACAGGATGCCACATATTTGATATATAACTCTAGTGAGAATTCATACTATATAGAATATATGCTAACCATGCCTGGCCCTCATAGGTGCACCTAGCCTTTGCTTCATTATCTGATTATTACCATATTTATGCCAGTTGTGCATTCACCGACATTCATGGTGTCATCCACATTTCCCCAAGGTACCAACTGACAACCCCCTAAGTTCCTATTTTTTCCAGGGCATGGTAAGTTCCCAATACTCCTTCAATCAATGGTGCCTAGACCCACTCTAGTTATGATGGTGGGTTCAAAGTGAATCTAGGATCCGATAAATCATTTCATGATAGAAATGGCGACTGGTGTTATATGGCAGAACACGCCATACAGCTTTTACCTGTAAACGTGGGGAATTATATAAACTGTATATAAAACATAGTACATAAGCCCTTAAATCATATAAAAGTGGTATACATTTTTATTAAGAATTCTTAGGCTAGTCGTGGATTTGGGTCTCTAAGTGACTGGACTTTGCCTAGAAGTAGGTAAGAAAGGGTTGTTACTACTGAATAGATTAAGTTTTGATTTGGCTAGAAGAGGTTGGGGTGGAACCTGAAATGTCATGGTAAAGTAATATAGTCTTTTGGATTTATACATTAGAACTCTGTTCTAAAAATATTAAAGAGGTCACAGCACATACTTACAGTAATTTTAGAAGCAGCATTTAGGGCCTCCACCCATCCCTGCAGATCCTCCTGGTCACTGGCCTGAAGAATGTACCGCTGAGATAAAGCATTGATAACTGGAGGAAATACAAATCAAGGTTTTAAAGTGATACTCATTCAGCTAGATCATTTTAGTATATGCAGCTGCAGAAAGGCTTTTTAATATCAAGAAAATAGAAAAGTGATAAAGAGCAGCAGTGCTGAATTTGAGCAACATGGCAGCTTAGACATTAGGGCCTGTTCTACATGGAGCACAAAAGTTCTTGTACAGCATTTTGTTCCATGGGGCAAAAACATAAGCTAGCTTATATCTGCTTAAACAGGCACAACATGTTCGAAAAAAAGTAAATGCTGGAGTCCATATATAATCCACAGAGTTTATTTATTAAAAATCAAATGGTCCAGTTTACAGAAAGCTAACGTGTTTTGGCTTACAAAGCCTTACTCAAAAATTGTATTAAAAAAAACAAAAGGAAAATGTACAGGAATAGGCCTTAGCTCACCCAGGTATTCTTTAATAATTCATAAAATAAAAAAACAAATGGAATGTCCTAAACTGTGAGCTGCTGCAAACCAACACAAAGCTGGAATTAGGCTTGGATCAGGAGGACCTCCTCCGTAAACAAATGGCTAGGAACTTACGTTAGCTGGTCTTCACCATTGTTGTGATGCTTCTTATTAACAAAAGGGAAACATTATTATTATTATTATTATTATTATACAGTATTTATAAAGCGCCAATAGTTCACTCAGCGCTGTACATTACAAAGGGGGACAGAACATGTGACAGAACAATACCAATACAATGCAAAACATGAGGGGATCGAGGGCCCTGCTCTTTCGAGCTTACAATTTAGGAGGGAGGGGATGGTGGCACAGGAGGAGATAGCTGTGGGGGATGGAGTGGTAGGAAGAATGGAGGAGGTCGGCAAGGTAGCAGGGGGTGGGGTAGGCTTCCCTGAAGAGATGGGTTTTCAGGGTGCGCCTAAAGGACAGGAGAATAGGTGATAATTTGATGGGTTGGGGCAGGGAGTTCCAGAGGATGGGTGATACCCTGGAGAAGTCCTGGAGGCGGGCATGGGAGGAGGAGACCAGGGAACTAGAGAGAAGGAGGTCTTGTGAGGAGCGGAGTGTGCATGCTGGGCGGTACTTGGATATTAGGTTAGTCATGTAGTTCGGGGCAGTATGGTGGACAGCTTTGTACGTCAGCGTTAGGATTTTGAATTTGATCCGTTGCGCAATCGGAAGCCAGTGGAGGGACTGGCAGAGGGGGGTGGCAGAGATGGAGCGGTTGGAAAGGTGAATGAGTCTGGCAGCCGTATTCAGGATGGACTGAAGCGGGGATAGCCAGCGGCGAGGCAGGCCAGTGAGGAGGGAGTTGCAGTAGTCGAGTCGTGATATGATGAGGGAGTGGATGAGCTGTTTAGTGGTTTCTGGAGTTAGGAACGTGCGGATTTTGGCGATGTTGCGGAGGTGGAGTCTGCACGAGTTTGTTAAAGATTGGACTTGGGGCTGGAAGGATAGGTTGGAGTCCAGAATGACACCCAGTACTCTGGCCTGCAGGGCGGGTTTGATGGTAGCGTTGTTCGATGTGATAGAGAAGTCAATGGGGGGTGGTGTCCGGGCTGGGGGGAAGACAAGAAACTCGGTTTTGGAGAGGTTCAGTTTAAGGAAGTGGAGCGACATCCAGTCTGATATGTCGCTCAGCAGGTGTGTGATTCGGGCAGAGACCGAGGGGGTGAGGTGGGGGGTTGAGAGATAGATTTGTGTGTCGTCGGCATAGAGGTGGTAGTTGAAGCCGTGAGAGTGTATGAGTTGGCCAAGGGAGGAGGTGTAGATGGAGAAGAGAAGGGGCCCGAGGACAGAGCCTTGAGGGACCCCAACAGAGAGGGGGAGTGAGGGGGAGGTGGTAGCATTATAGGTAACGCTGAAAGAGCGTTGTGACAGGTAGGATGAGATCCAGGAGAGAGCAGAATCTCTGAGGCCGAGGGAGTGTAGTTTTTTGAGGAGGAGGGGGTGGTCGACTGTGTCGAAGGCCGCAGAGAGGTCAAGGAGTAGGAGCACTGAATAGTGGCCATTAGCTTTGGCGGTTAGCAGGTCGTTGGAGAGTTTGAGTAAGGCAGTTTCGGTGGAGTGTAGGGGACAGAAGCCGGACTGTAGGGGATCGAGGAGGTTGTTGTCGTTGAGGTGAGAGCATAGGCGGGTGTAGACTAGGCGCTCGAGGAGTTTAGATGTAAATGGGAGCAGGGAGATGGGTCTAAGGTTGTTCGGGTCATTGGGGTCCAGGGAGGGCTTTTTAAGTATTGTAATGGCAATTTTGGGCCTACATCTTCATGAAGGTTATTGACTGTGACTGTGGGGGGGAGGGGGATTACACAAAAGACTCAATGGAGGTGAGGAGGAAGGCAGCTGCTTCTTTGTGTACCTTGCTCTGAAGCCCACCCATTGGAAGATAACTTGGGTGGGTGGTTCTTGGGATGGTCTTTTGTAATGTGCATAAAACACCTTGGACACCCCCTCAGCTTCCCTTTTTCCTGCCATGTGCTTTCGCACAGCACAGACCTCAGAACATCAGGATGCTGTAACGTATCACCATTGCTCTGTCTTTTTCTTGTAACTATCTCTCTCTTGTAGTCTTTGTATAGGTAACATTCTGTATTATATTTTTGTTGTGTTTGATTAATAGAAAGCTTCCTTGCTGTGTAAATAAATCAGATCTTTTATTTTTTGCACAGTGGTTATCTTTTAATATTAACACTATTGGCTAAATTCAGGTATAGACAAAAGGTTATAATCACTTATTACGTTTATAATCTGTATAGAATCAAGTAAATAAGTGTGGGTAGGAAAACCGCCAAAACAGTATGGGGGTGATGTGTGCATGTTTCAGAGGGGAGGGGAAAGTGCCGGAGGAGAGGGAGAGATTGAAGATGTGGGTCAGGAAGCGTAGGATGGAGGGGGAGGGAGGTCGTAGGAGTTGTGAGGAGATAAGGTCGAGGGGGCAGGTGGTGAGGCGGGCATCAGAGAGGATCTTGGAGACTTCCTCGATGGTAGTAAGGTCAAAGGTGCGGAGTGTTGGGGGAGCTTCAGTATGAGGAATGTAGGGTGGGGTGGAAGAGGAGGTCAGAGCAGTGGTGGGGCCGTGGGAGAGGGGTGATGAGGGGGTAGCTGAGTGAGGGGGAAGGGGGTTGGAGGGAGTTTGAGCAGCAACGAAGTCCCTGCAGGTTATGTCGAGAGGGAGGGGGGATGAGGGGGTAGCTGTGTGAGAGGTTGAGAGGGCGTGTGAGGTAAGGTGAGGTGACATAAGGTAGAGCAGTAGCACAGGGAATGGTGGAGGTTCAAAAAGGTAGCCTTCAGTAGGCACACAACATTACAGACTGAGGGTGGAGTAGTGAAACTGGGGAATGACATAGGTTCTGAAAGATGTTGCCACTTTCATGAGGCTGTGTGCACATAACCCATGAGGACTGGGTGGCTAACAAAAGTATAAGCAATACTTTACAAATCTTCTTGCAGAAAAAAAACCTTTGTATTTGAACCTATAAATTAACTGAAATAGTTATAAATGCTCTATTGAAAGCTCTACTGGTTTTAGCCACAAATGGGAACAGTTAGACATCTGACAAAAATGCCATGAAAAATGATTGTACAGCGCTGAGCAAACTTTTTGGCGCTATATAAACACTGTATTATAATAATAATAATAATAAGGCTGTACCAATTATAAGGTGATAAAATTCAAAGTGTAAAGTGAATACCAAGTCCATCCACTGGAATGGGTGGTTGAGCTCTTGCACATACTGTACATCAGTCTTATGGAATTGCATGGCTTGGCATTAAAATGTATTTTGGCCTAAAAGTCTTTTAGGTCGTTACCTAGAAATGTTTAAAACTGGCTCTTAATATCAGATAGCAAGTGCAAATGTAAGTACAATCTGACTGACAAAATTATTTTCAATAAATCTGCAGATTTGCCTACCCTGCATGTTTAGACCTTCAACTGAATTTTGGCCAGGGGACATTTGCAGAAGCCACATACAGTACTATCAGTTTTTTACCCAAACATAACTGGAAGGAGTAGACGACAATTATCCAGTTCTTTGGGCACCACAAAAGGAACATCTCAGGACTGAAATATAGGAACTGCTGTTGCTGATTTTTAAGGTAGCGCATCCTTGATTTCAAAATGGATGATTTAATGATTGGAAAATTTAAAATTCTTAGGGTATACCCTAATTCCAAAACAGGTATCAAAATGAAGAAAAAAAGTCACAAACTGCATATTTATGGATGTGGCTAGGTCACATTTAAGTGCTACACAGCAAATAGACTTCCAGGACTGTGGGACCTCTCCGCTCTGGACCAGAGGCGGACTGACAACTCATGGGGCCCCCGGGCAATAGGGGATCATGGGGCCCCTGTGTCCTTGCTCAAACTCAAAAAAGCCTATGAAAGCCTATGAGATTCTCATGGGGCCCCCTACTGACCCCAGGCCCTCGGGCAGTGCCGAGTTTCCAAATGGTCAGTCCACCCCTGCTCTGGACTGTCTGTTACTACTTGGTGAGTCATTGACCTGGAAAAAGTATGTGCACATAAGCTGTTTTGACATCTAAAATACATGTGCCTATACTGAGCTGGTGACTTCCTAAACAGAACATCAAAGTAAAGAATGATATCCCTGTGTCCAAAATATATCAGCAAAGGAAGCCCCATATTTCTGTGTTGATTTTTTTAAACGTGTGATTTCTGAGTGGGGCAATAATTACCAGAGACGAAGAAAATGACTTTAGGTCAGTCTACCTCCATTATTGCCTATATTAACCTGATAAACAATTCCCAAATGCTTACCTATGATCCAGAATGGTCCTCCCACCAGGTCTGATATTTCTGTGATCCCTTGCTCCTTTCAATAGGATACCATGGCCCAGGAACTGGAAGCATGAGAGGCATTGATCCACAACCAATCAATGCTCCTGGTCTCATGTCTCTGGTATCCTTTATGCAGAAAGGATTAAGGAAATGCTGGTATACCAGACCTGGTAGGGGACGACTTGAGGTTACAGGAAAGTATTTGGTTTTGTCTGTTGTAGTCAGTTACATGTACTTTCACTACTAGACTGAAATCTGAGTGGTTGCTGCAGACAAAACCAATATTTCTGAACTCTTTTCTAAACAAGTTTATGCAACATACAGGGGCAAGATACAGATATATATTGTAACAATAGGAGGTAGGTAAGAGTATCAGAATGCCAGAAAAGTAAGTGAATGTAGCCTGCACCCCCAGAAATCAAATTTAATTAAAATTTAATTGAATAGCATAATAAAAGGAAAAAGCAGGAAAAGCCACGCATAAACCAAGTTAGCAGCAGAGCTGTTCTTGCTAACCATAAAATAAGAATCAGATTTTCCCTTTTATCATGAGTGTCACCAATGCAGTACGGTAGAACAGATAAAGAATATGCATGATTGTAAAGAGTAACAAGAACAGATTCTGTCACACTTTGACACATAAATTGCACTAGTATCATGCTAGTAGCACTGTGGAGGAGGTGGAGGGGAAGTAGACACAGTACCTGGTTATTTCACTAATAAAGGCTTAGTGTATTTTGCATCATGATAGCCACAGACTACAGAGTGAGGTCAGATATGTGGGTTTGATCCAACTGCCAAATTATTAGATCACCTGATAGTGCATATCTATGTCAATTTGTAGAAAATATCCAAAACCCTCAGCTCCTATTTCTCCAAACCTTGGTCGGGTGGAGTATGGTGTAGCCTGATGGCATCCATGACCTACAGTTGGTTGGACTGATTAACAAACGTTTCATACAGCCTTGAAGGTCACCCTAGAGTTGTGTTCCTCATCCATTTAAACTTCAGCTACAGGATGCCTGCTACTATTTTAATAAGCCAGACTTATAAGACTCCTCTGTGCCCCTTCCAAATTTAGTTTCACTTTGTTACTGGGGCCTAACTTTACCTGACTTTATAAGCATAGCCAAAGTCTGCAAATACTCATTGCATATCCAGGAATGCTGTCAAGAATGGATTCACCACTGGTGGTGGGACTCACATGCCATGTGGGCTGCAGTACCAGGGCTGGCCAGGGGGTGCTTTCAGCAGCCAGAAGCTTACTCCTGCAATCAAACCATAACCTGAGGCTGATTGCAGGAGGTGTATTTAAGGAATGGCCAGGCCCTGGGGAATCCTGTCCTGAGGACTGCTAGAGGTACCACCAGACGGTCGTTAACAGAACCATATGGCCGGCCTGACCATTCCACCTCTCCAGCCCTGACTACGCCTGTGTTCCTGCACATACTAAGATTAGTGGAAGGTTGGTTTGTTTACTGTGCGTTGTATATTTGGGTGGCTAATAATAAATTGTATTGTTATTATATCATTCCTGAAGCCTGTTACTTCCCTGTGTCAGTCCACACATTTCTGGTCATACCCGGATCCCTGACAAATGCAGTGCCAGGGTGTTCCCTCACTGGTGCCGACATCTCCTTGGCTTCTTTTGGATGTGGGGTCTTCATCTGTCTTGATTAGGCACGAGCTCAGGTGTGTTCTTGCACTGTATTGGGCCAATCATAAGTGGCTACGGCATTCCCTTCTTCTCAGCCACACATATACAAGGGGCATGCCTCAGCTGCTTATGACTGGCCCAGAGCAGTGACAGCACCAGCATCCAAACATGCCTAAACTCATCCCTGGTCTTGAGTGAATGGCACGGGATGACATAACTCCTACGTAAACGCATGAGAGTCCATTCAACACGGCATTGAGATGTGCCAAGAATGTACAATGAGCTGTGCATATAGTACATATTCCAATGGAGATTGTTAACCAGCAGGTAAGTTTGTGCCCTCTACTTGCATCTAAATGTCAGAGCCTCAAACACTAGGAATAAACGCTTGGTGTGCTTGGGACCTTTAGCTCTGACAACTGGCAACCCCCAACCCAATGAGAGTGCCTTTACAGGCCATCCACCAAGGCAATCTTTCTGAAGCATGCAATGGCAGTTGGTGAAACCTAGCCACAAATTCAGATAAAGTCAGGTCCCCTTAAGAAACAAAAGAGACACTGAATGGGCTTTTCTGGCTAATAAAAGTAATTGCGGCCATCATATGGTGTCATTCTTGGGCAAGTCGTTACTAAAGGTGCTTTACTCAAGTTGACAAAATGTTTAGTATGACTGACTCAAATTTCTTGAGCATCTCTGAAGATCATTGTAACTGACACCAAATTATCACGTTTTTATTGCGGTCTGTGTTAGGGAGTTTCCCGCTGTTTGTCCTATTTACCGTTATCATTGGAAGTGAAAGTAAAAGAAAATTCCAAATTTTAGGGTGTCCCCAAAAAAGTAATAGAGGAGAAAACTTCCAATGGGGACACTAGTTCTGGTGACCTGGGGGGCCCAAGGGATTCACTTAATTTGCAGGGACTTCCTCTTACTTCCTGTTTTGGCTATGGGACAGGAAGTGAAGGTAAATATCCCCAATAGGACACAGAGGGCAAAAAAACCTGACAGGGGTTAAAGCCCCCCTTACTCTATCCAACAATAAAACAAAATATGCCCATAGTTCTACTTTAATTACTACTGAAGTCTGAGCTCTACACTACCCTGCCAAAATACACTAACCCTTCATAGCTTGAAGTAAAAATAAATAGAAGATCAATGCTACTGCCTATTCCCCTCCTGCAGCATGTATTCTCCATAACTACAGGTGCACTTTTTAAAGTAAACCTACAATAAGTGAAATATGTATGCCGGCAGTGATGACCTCCATTTGAAATGGTATCTGCCTGGCTGTCATGGTGACCCTCTTGCTTTATTACTTTGAAACACTTCCCAGAACAAGTATTCAGACCATGATAGTTGGACAAAAAAAAAGGCCAATGTGTCTTGGGTAAATTACTTACAGAGACCTTGCTGCCAGACCATTCATTTCAAAAACAATCGTCCTTTAGAATTATGTGTGTATCTAATATATTTTGTGTGTATTATTTACCCCTAAAATCCTCTCTTTTATAATTATCCAAGGGTCCTGAGACTGCTGCTGGGTGTGGCCATCTTGGATTTGATCCCTCAACTGACACTCCATAGCATATTTATTAACAGTAAGGAACCCTTGAAATAACTTTTAGGTCTCAAGGAACCCCTGTTAAAATGTATTATAACTGCAACTCACATGACAATAATGTGAATGGTGAATTGTGGATAAAAGAATAATGAATATGGTGTGGCGTATTTGACACTGAAAATGGGACGTGAAAACTGTAGTGCTTCCTTACACTGTTGTGGAAAAGTGCCCCCTTAGATTGATGGTCAGTTATGTGCCCATTTACATTGGTGGTGATTGATATGTTCATTAGATTGGTGACCAGTAGAGAAGGCTCCCTTAGATTGGCGGGTGAAGGATTTCCTTACACTGATGGTCAGTGGGAAAAAGACTAATTTCATTGGTGGTCAGTTAAAACAATACCTGCCCACTACCACCACCTTACAGACACTGGTGACATTGGTAAGTTATCTAAGAAGTAAAAGCTGGTCACTGCTCAAGCAACCCCTAGAAACCTTGGAGCAACCCTAGGGTTGCTAGTATGGCTGCTTTATAGTATTCCCTTTTGCGCTTTCCCCAGTTGCTAAATAAAAGATTATGTAGAGAGATTATGGAAGGAGCAAATCTGTTTTATCAGCACAGACAATAACTAGGCATTTCTAGAAGAGGAGAGGACTATGATGTGGAAGGAGGGAGAAGTTTGTGCTAGGGAACTGACTCAAATTGTTCAAATTGGCTAGAAAGTTCAGAGGCACGTTGCAACTGAGGACCAGAAAAAAAACACTGCAACTGAGCACTCAAAATACTTGATTTTTTTGTGTGTTTTTTATCTTCAATTTTATAAGTTTGGTGACAGGGTATCTAAAGTATTGAATGGGTCACTATGACAGTCAGGACACTCAGTGTTCAAAGGTGAAGTAAGCTTGTTTCATTTGTGATGGTTGTCCATGAAAGTAGTTTAGACTTTCAGTGAGGAAGTGACAGTAAATTGCTGTACCATGTTACCCTTTGATTCATGCAGAAAGTTTGGAATTCAAGAGATACCCTTTATTGGCTAACTAATGACCTCACTGGGTCTAAAATAAATGTAAATACAATACAAACGTTTTATTTAAAAAACATTTTTTAGCATGTTGATGAGGGGAGGAAAAGAGAAACTAGGAAGGTATAACATAAGCTGAATAAACTGATACCCTTTGTTGGCTAACTTAAGTTATTAAAGATGCAAGCTTTCAGGACCCCTTATGTCTCCCTTCTTTGGGCTGTATACAATTTACAACAATATAATTATATAAAGCCTGAAAAAACGGATCTTAGGGGTCACCAAAACTTGTGGAGTTCTGCTTTGAACTTCACACTTTCTGTCTGGAGGAAGAGAAGGATCTATGCCCCCATTTTCCCTTCCCCCAAAGCTACCTGGTTTCCTATTCATAACCCTATCAGTGCTGCTGGAGAATTGCAGTGCTACCACCATTGCTCAGTGATGCAGTCTGGCCTAGGATTCTTTTGCAACCCTATAGGTTTCAGCACTGAGGAACAAGACATCACTTTCTGAGACTAAGCAGAGGTTCCTTGTTGAAACTCAACGTTTTATTGGTGAAGGAAGAGGGGTTTTGAGAGAGGCAACAAGCGGCAATGATTTGATGAGGGGGGTCATAATAAGAAGAGGGTTTCCTCTTTCTGCCTGACAGTGGAAAACCTCGTTAACACCTACCAGCTCCTCTGTCTTATCTCATGGCAATATTTTACAGCAGGTAGAAGAGAAATTGAGAAGATAAAGCAAGCAGAGATAAAGCTGAGGTATAAAGGTGCTGGTTTTGTAGTGAAATCAAGAACATTTCCTCACCAAAACAAAATGTCATCTTTGCTTTTTGTTTCACAGGAGCAGTGCCAACCTGACGGGAAATAAGACGGATTATTAACTGAATACCAATTAGAGAACGTGACGTTTATCTATGCAATAAAATAAGGAAGGTTCATTTATATGTGTTAGAGAAATATTTAAAGAGACAAGGTAATCTTTATTTGTTCCCTACACACCCGCAGACTATGACTCAGAACTAGGCTTTAATAGAGGCGGTATGTCTATGTGATAACCTTATCTACGGCCAAATACATACACGCTTAAATCAACATATAAAAGTCACATTCAAGGGACCTGGAAGATAGGATATTGACAATTTTACCCATAGCAATTAATCAGATCTCTGAAAACTTATCATTTTTTTTGTTTACAAACGATTTTATTGTATAAGAATAGACTGTAAAAACAACAGTACATTGTCGCAAAGAACTTACAACAAAAACAAGACACTTTTGAATAGTACAATACAGAAAAGTATGTTAATTTAAGAGAGAGAAGAAATAGAAAAAAAGATAGATTGCAAGTACATGAAATGTAATGTGTAATGATAAGGTAGGTTAAATGATACATCTGTCAATAGTGTATGCCATTCAACTTCCACTGGGAATGTTATCAATCATGCAATAAATGTCTATAATCCCTCTATGACTCCCATTTTTTATCAAGTAAGTGCATCTTATCCAGTAGGATATAATGAATGCGTTCCATGAGCATTACAGTATCAATTCTGTGTAAGACGGAGGTCAAGGGTACAACATTGGACTTCCAATGTACGCCACTAGACCATAAAGTGGCAATACATATAGTATGTATCAATCTCATTATGGCATCAGGGACCCCCAGGATATGAGCCCCCAATAAACAGGTCTGCATTGACAATCGTATCTGGGTACCCGCCAGTGAGGTAGCCACCTCAGAAAACGTATCATTTTAACAGAAAAGGGAATCCCCAGGAGTCTGTATTAAGAATATCTGAAGCCCAAACTGTTTATTTTCATTATGCGGAGAGAAGAGAATGGTTACACCCTCTGTGAAATTACAGTAAAGCTAGCCATAGATGGATTGAAATTTGGCTGGTTCAGCAGGGACTGGCCAAATTTTCATCCATCTATGGGCAAGCTGGTTGTATAAAGTCAATCTCTCAACCAACGTCAGAACAGCCAGCCTGTTCAAAATTTTCATTCGATCAGTGCTGCCAACTATAGCCAGCGGTGCTGTTGAGTATTCTGATGGAAGGGAAGTCTCCCCACAGAAAACAATATCTCTGCAGGAGGGATTCCCCCATCCACCTCAAACGAGTGGATGGGGGGAATTATTTCATTTTCTTTTGCTCAACCCACTGTTTTTGTTTCATTCAACCAACTGGTTGAACCAAAGAAAATGAATCATGCATGGCCTGCCTAAGGCTGGCCATAGATGGATTCTTTTTTTGTTCAGCCAGTAGAATGAATAATAAAAAAAAAAAGGAACGGATTCCACTATCCACACAATCAACTTCTGTCAAGCAGAAGTGGCCACATATGCATCGAACATCAGCTGGTCCCTGTTGAACCCACCCAATTTTGATCTATCTATGACCAGCTTTATTCTCTGCAAAGTCAGAGAAATCCCCTCTTAGACAGTTGTCACCGAAAAAAGTTTTCCCATTGAGACATTTTCCCTCTATGCCTCTTCTTAATGTGTAATTATGTCAAATGCATGAGTATTTCTATTAGTTTACCGTGAAGTTGACTGATGCACTGCAGCTGACATTTTAGGATAAAAAGACTAAAGATAGAAGGTGGAAGTAGTGTGGAATAAGTGGATGGGAAGTTAGTCTTGTGATGAAAGCTTTCACTACCCTCTGCCCCACCTTCATCTGAAAATAGAATGCCTGCCAAAACTTTTCCTCCAGTTTCGGACAGCTCAGGGAAAAGCAAAGCAGACCTAGGACTAAAAGAGCACATGTTTTTCAGGCTTTTCCCACATGCTAAAATGCTGCCATAAATTAAAAAAGGAAAAAGAAGCCATAAGGATTCCAACCAACTTTCCCTTAGAGGGCATAAATCATCCCAAATAAACAAAAAAAAGTATTGAGAATAAATGGAACTTTTAAGATATAGAAATACTCATTGGAGAAATGTTAAAGAAAAAAACAACCGATTATATCCAGTATGTCATTCATTTAAAAAAGGTTACATGCATCTAAAAAAAAGTGCTATATACAAAACATACTTCAAGAACCTAATATAAGACTCATAACAACATCTCCTATAGTAACAAGGACATTGTTATGCTTGCAAAATAAATACACATTTGCAGATGTACATCAAATGTATCAAACTCAAAATCCCTCAATGCGTTTCATGGGCAATCCCTCTTCTTCAAGAGGAATATCAAAGAGTATTCATTTTTCATATCATATGTTAACATTTTCAATCAAAAGCTGTGAGCTGTTTGTCTGCACCACCAACAGGTAAATGAAGTGGAAGGGAGACCCAGACGCTACTAGGGTGGGTATCCAGGAGTACCACATAGATGTACCCATGTGGGTATTGGTTATATTTTTGATGCTATAAGCAAAGATGCCCTCAGATCTCACAGTTCTCTAATTAAAGATGGAATTACAGAATAATCCCAGGCATGTGTATTTTATACATAATTACACTGCTCCAGCTTGGACCGATGTAACTATGCATGTACCATACCTGGCCGATGCTCCTGGAAGGTGGTAATCATTGAAGAAGACATTGCTACTCCAGTGATCTCCACTAATGCCAGCCATAGACGGGTTGAAAATCGTCCGATTTTTCGGTCGAAAAAAAAATCGGCCGATTTTTGCACCGTTAGTGGGTTAATTGGTCAGCTGTTTTTCGGGGTTTTTGCACATTTTTTTTATCGGGCATGTTGGAAAATTTGGGGCCGATTTTGACGATCGGCCGATGTTCCCGGCAATGATGAGCAAATCGGTCGATTGTTTTACCTATAAAAAATCTGCACATGAGCCGTGACCTGCAAGAAGAAGAAAAAGAAGAAGAAGAATTCCAGTCCGCTATTATATTTTATATGAAAAAGTCTTGCGGTCGCAACAAATGTATCCATTTGTATCTGAATAAAAACATCTGTATCCGAAATGGATACAAATGGTTACATAGGCTGCAACCGCAAGACTTTTCATATAAAATATAATAGCGGACTGGAATTCTTCTTTTTCTTCTTTTATTGTTCTCATTATTCTTATGTATTGCTCCCGTGTGCTCCCCTGTCTCTGCAAGGGACAGAAGTAATTATGGCGTTAAATCCTGGCCATAGACGGGACGAAAATCGGCCGATTTTTTTACTGTTGGTGGTGACATCGGCCGATCGAATGACCGATTTTTCATTTTCTTTTTTTTTTTAAAAACTCCGATTTTTGACCCATCTATGGCCTGCATTCCTTTCAGATCCCATGCTGAACAGCTGCTGTAATGCATTGTGAACAAAGGAGGTTGATTGCTCAGTATGAGCACCATTCAACATTTTCTTATTCAATGCAAAGCATTCTCTGATTTGATGAGATAGAGAGGCAGGGTGGTGACATCTTTACTGGTCTGGCTTCAGTAAAGCAAATTTAGATTACTTGCTATGGTTTCTAACACTTTCCATTAAGTGCTTTGCACTACCTATAGTGTCATGATCGCTGCAATAGGCTGTGAAGATCCTCAGTTTGTGTCACAATAAAAAAAAATATTTGGAGATCTTGCTTCCTTATTCCTAAAGCCTTTAATATCAGCATTTAAAAGGATTTATTCAAAATCCCTTAAGAAGCCCAACTCTAGCAAAACTTATGTCAGGGGGAGGTTCACCCTCATTTTCTGTTCAGGTGACACTTCCTTAGGATGTGTAGATGTCACTGGGTCAGGTAGGCGCGGATAACAAAACAGAAACTGTCTGAAGCTCTAACTCTTCCTCGTGCTACTGAAAATGTATCTTTGTCTGCGTTCCCATTGGCGAGATTTCTCATCACTTCCTGTCCAGACAGGAAGTTAAGGAAAATCTCCCCAAAAAGGCAACTGAAACCTGACAGGTTCTGCACCTTCCCCACTCTATGTACTGTAGTATCTAATAGTAGCTGGTCATATTCAATGGAATATGTTCTGTACCACTGAATACATTTCACAGCTTATCCAAGCCACTAATTCAGTTCTAATGAGTGTCGGGAATATACTTCAGCAATTATACCCACAAGGGTAACTTACCTACCTTATTATAAAAAAAAAAACTTATGGATTGTGTTGGGTTTAACCACTTCAAGTCCGGACACTTTCACCCCCTTCCTGTCCAGGCCAATTTTCAGCTTTCAGTGCTATCACACTTTGAATGACAATTTCGCGGTCATGCAACACTGTACCCATATGAATTTTTTAGCATTTTTTTGAGACAGATAAAACTTTATTTTGGTGGTATTTATTCACCACTGGGATTTTTTTTTTTTTTTTGCTATATAAATGAAAAAGTCCAAATATTCTGAAAAAAAATGTTTTTCTTCTACAATTTTGCAAATAAATAATCTTTCTTCATAAATCTTGGCCAAAATGTATTCATCTATCTTTTTAGTAAAAAAAAAAAAAAAAACCCCAAATGTTTATAACCAAAAATTATAATTTTTCTAAATTTTTTTTACATTTTTATTTTTTTTTATATTATTATTTATGCTGTTGGTTTTTTTTAACATACTGTCAGCCTAGCAGTACAGTGTCACCATAGTGACACTGTACTACTTGTGGAGGGTGATGAAGATTTTTTTTTTCTTTTTTTGCACTGATTGCTTTTACACCCATAAAGGCTGTAAAAGCGATTTCTCCTTCTCTCTGGCTGCATTCTTGCAGCCACTGAGAAATACTGTGAGAGCTGTGATTGATCACAGCTTGTCACATGGTACAAGGCTGTTGTGAATAGCCTTGTACTATGTGACCTCTGTGATCATTCACAGATTTCACACGTAGTAAGCAATGATGTCAGGAAGTGATGTCTTGTTTACTACTATTCATGTGATCACTGATTGGTCAATCA